AGTTTAGAATCAACCAACTCACTCGTAATTGTGTAAACAATAAGATGGTCTACAAGATGAACTACAATGGCTTTCAGAAGGATTTCGATCAACATCGACCTACATCTATGAGGTACACAATTAAACCAATACCAGGACATCAACAAGCAGGTCCCATATGTGAATTGATAGTTTGCTTTGACACTAAATCAGTCAATATATAGCTAATTATCAAGCTAAACACAAAGAAGATAGTACAAGGACATCAACCTGGTCAAATGACATGACCAATTAAACTCATAAACCTAAAACGAGCATGGAATTTCAATCCCCCTACCGAAATGTGTAAATCTAGAACATCCCAACAACGAATGCAACAAATTCGGTCGATACAAATGCCCCCTAGAAGAATGAAGAACAACGGACTTCCTCCACCACCATTACCACCAAAGCTTCCCCACAAAAAGGAGAATCATTAACCACAAAAACAATGAATGTTGTGAATTTGTCCGATTCGAATCCTCCCACGAAGAAGATGGAAGAACTACAACAACAACATCCATCCAAAACTTCCTCACCAAAGGAAGCATCATCAAGAAGATTGGATAACTTCTACAGCTGCATCAGATGACCCGGGTTCAAGAAGAGTTGAAGGGATTGAATATTCCAAAGCATGCATAATTTGCAGCGACATCATTCCAACAAAGACTACTCCATCATATCGATCAGCCACAACCATGCTCTAAATATCCTAACTAAGTTTGACCTTAATGTCTCATCATTCATGGATGATTCATAGGTCTTATAAGTAACTAAAGTTTAACGATGCAGCCTTTCTATCTACCATATCATATCATATCATATCATATCATATCATATCATATCAATCCTCCCACGAAGAAGATGGAAGAACTACATCAACAACCACAACCGCAACCACAACAACAACAACCACAACTGCTGTGAATTCTTCAGACTCGAATTCTTCTACCCTAACAACAGAAAAACCCAATGCTCCTCCTCAACAGAAGAAGATTGAGGAACAACAACAACAACAACAACCTTCTAAGGATGTTGCTGAAACGGAGACAAATCAAGCACAACCTCAACAGCAAAAACAAGGTGAAATGAAGGTAAATGCTGCAAATTCTCCTTCAAAACAAGTGAAGGAACAACAGGAACCGCCATTGCAGCTAATTATCAAGCTAAACACAAAGAAGATAGTACTAACCGAAAAAAGTTGTGGTGGAGGAGGTAGGCCAGCGGTCTTCGTTTGCTATCGATGGGAAGAGGGCTGTGCAGGGTCTTCGTTTGCTATCGATGGGAAGAGGGGGTTCTGTGCAGAGTCGTCGTTTGCTATCGATGGGAAGAGGGTCTTCGTTTGCAATCGACGAAGAGATGCTCGCTCTCGTCGTCCCTTGCTCGCCGCCTTCACTGTGGTCGTCGGAATCCGGCTCGCCGCCTTCACTGTCGTCGTCGGAATCCGGAATCCGAATCGCTGCAATCGACAAGCTTCTTCTACTCGTCGTCACCCACTGCTCGCCGTCTTCACTCGTCGTCACCCAATGCTCGCCGTCTTCACTGTCGCCGTCTTCACTGCTCGCTAGCTGCGTGGAGAGGATCGAAGGAAGGAAGGGTTTCGGCGGTGAGAAAGAGGTGAGAAAGAGGATCGAAGGAAGAAGGATTGTAATTGGTTTCAGACAACCGGTTGTACCGGTTACAACCCACAAATAAAATAATAAAATAATAATTTAAATGAAATCTAATGGTTGATATAGTTTGGACATGATCTAATGGCTGTAAATGTTTTATAGTACCAATACTATAAAGCACACTAAAATGACTCATATATAATTGAATTCAGTCAGTCAGAACAGACACAAAATGAAATTTCACACCTCTAACATTATTTGGCAATTTATTTATTTTTACATGTGTTGGTTGCATATTGTGTTGGTTTTAACCGACACGATATTTTGAATTGTTTCGATTAGAATAGACCCAAAATGAAATTTTAATTTTTGGAGAATTTGGCGGAACTTAATCATTCAGTCCGCCAAAAAAAAATTCATTGAGAATTGAATTCTTTTCCACACGGCTCCTTTATTACTCACCCCTTCCCTACCCCATAGCCTTTAATTCCCCATTCATTCCTTCCTGGTGTCAAGGATGCGAGATCCGGCAATGATGGTGGAGAGATCGAGAGGCGGCAAGATTTGGAGTGGCGGAGAGATCCGGCGATGACGATGAAGCGATTTGGCGACGCGGTGGCAAGATCCGGAGATTTTGATTGTGAGGTTTCTATTATGGGGTTTAGCGAGTTCGATTTTCCCCCCCGCTTTGTTAAGTCTATTTTTGAAACTGATTTCTGTTATGGTTTTGTATTGATGGATTCTCATTATCCATAGAGAAAAGCAAGCGACGGAGACAGAGATGAAAGCCAACGACGTCAAGAGAGGGCATTGATGGCAGACGCGGGGCCGACCAATTTCTACGGTAAGTTTCAAGTTCTTTTTTATTTGTTTTGTTTTGCTTTGATTTGATGGATTCTGATTTTCCATCTGGTTTTGATTTCTGAGGGGATTTTATGTCTCTAAAGAAGAGGAGGAAGTCGCCGACCCACGACGGTGAAGCAAAATTTGCCAACGAATTAATTGACGATGCCGATGATAGTCTAGGCGGAAGCGGTAGCGGCTTGGATTTGGGTTTTGTTAGGGTTTGTTAGAGTTGGTCTCTACTAGAGTTGGGCTTTGTTAGGTATATATTTGGTAGTGTTTGCATAGTTGGACTTTGTTTGATGAGTACAATTATGTCAACAATGTATTAAAGATTTTATGTAATAAAATTTAATATTAATACCCTAGTTCTTATACAAATTAATCGATGCTCCTTAATCATAGTATTAACCTACCAAAAGACCAAAACGGAATAATTAATGTTATCATCAATGAATATTATTTACGTAAGAAAAGAATAAATCGTATTTTTAGATATGCAAATTTGTCCCCATTTTAACGAAGGCTTTTCTATGCCATATTGTTGTAACAAAAATAAAAGGGGTATTTTGGGAAGAGAAATCTTATATTCTTAACGAAATGAGTTTCATCGTAAATAATTTTATTATCGAGGAACTGTTTTCGCCAACGACAAACTCTCATCGTATATAATCGAAGGTTATTTTCGGAATTGAAATTTTGATCCAGTTTGCATGTTTTTTTCTACGAGGAACTGTCGTAAAAAAAGTAAAGGGTATTTCCAGAATAAAATAATTTATTTCTGACGACATTTCTTCGTAGATTAAAATAAATTTTCCATCACAAATAACCTTCGTCAATTTTTGAGCATCAAGTATATGTTATTTCTGACAACGATATTTTGATTAGCGACGAACAAATGTTCGTCACAAAAAAGTTTTTTGTGACGCCCTAACGAATTTCCATTTTTTGCGATGGGACTTTTTCCCATGACGACCAACGACTATATATCGTCGTAACTAGTCATTTCCAACGAAAAAAGGTCTTTTCCAACGCCAAACGTCTGGTCATAACTGACTGTCTTTTTTGTAGCATGGTTTGGAATTGAATTTTAGATCTTTTGGTACTGATGTTCTAGAATTGTTTATGAGAGTAATTTACTTATGGTTTACCATGATTAAGAGGTGTCTACTATTTATATAGATGACTGTTTATTAGGTACCGGTTCTCAAACGGTTTTAAACGGTCTAATGCCGGCTGGACCGCTATAGACCGAGCCGTTCACGTTACCGGATCATACTCCAATTCGATTCTGACAACATTGATAACGATAACTTATCCTACTAAACCTTTTCTTTTCTAAATTAAACACTGCGCAAATGGTTGCTACTCATCATCGCAAAACTTTCCTCAAAATACAAGAATACAGCTGCGCTCGCACACCATATCAATATCACCAGCCAATACCAGCACAAGCAACCAATCCTACCAAAAGCCTGAAGAAACAAATTGCTCCAAAATATATATAGCCTTTGCTGGGTAGGACAAGAAGGGTCACATGAACAATAAAATATGGTCTCTCTCTATAGCTGCAGATTTTTGTGACACATAACACAGAAAGCAGGGAGGGGAGAAATATATGGACAGAAATGGAAGGCAGCAACTGGATAGGATTCACAAAGACGATAAGGTGAAATTTCAGGCATTGCAGCTGCCTTCCAATTTCCATACATGTGTGGTGAAGTACGAAGCCTCCTAGCTCTTGTGGCTTTAGCATTCAAAATACAAAGGCTCATAAATAAAATGTCACTCTTTACCTATCAATTAATTCTTTTTTGCATGGATGTGAATTTTTGATAATTTATATAGAATGAGCTTATTATATATAAGAATAATATCAATGAAACGTTTGTGCACGAAACAAAATCATCATTTTTAAAACAAGGAGGGAAAATAATGTGGCCAGCTTGAGATACAGCAATATTGTTCTGTTTTTCTTTATTGAAGAGTGGAATTTGGAAGTTAATTATTGTACGTATTTTATTGTTTTATTTTCTTTGTGTAATAGGGCGGTCCATCTGGTGGCTAAGAAAGCTCTGGCTTTGTTTCCTACGGAATATTCGAGATTTGATTTTCGTGTGTGGTTGTGCTCTAAAATTGAGATTTATAACCTCATTTATCTTAGTAATGCAACGGATATTTTTATGGAGAAAAAGAAAACTATTTTCTTAATATAATAATGCATCTCTATTTCATGTTTCATGAACTAAACCAAGTCAAACTCATTTACATGTAAAGTATCAATTATCATGAAAATGTAATTATTTTGGGTGTGTTTCTTTCCCATTTCTTTTGCTCAAATTTTTACTCAAATTTCATTGTTACTAAAACATAAGCCGATTCTAGTAAATATTGTTATGAAATTAAGCACGTTTTAGTATTTGACAGCATCGCCAGCAGACTACGCTATTAAGAACACTAATCCTCACTTTCCGTTGAACTCATCCATTATATATATATATATAGCTTCCCTTCTCTTCTCCCGGAACTCATTCCTTTAAACTAAAAATAAAAATGCACCTCCCACGCACCGCCGCTGCCGCCACGACGGCCCTTATCATCATCATCCTCACCGCCGCCGACATTCAGATCAGCACAGCTTCCCCGAACCAGCAGCTTCCCAACTTCACCGCCGTCATAATCTTCGGCGACTCCACCGTGGACACCGGCAACAACAACTACCTCCCCGACGCCGTGTTTAGAGCCGACCACCCGCCCTACGGCGAGAACTTCCCCACCGGGCAGCCGACGGGCAGATTCTCGGACGGGAAACTGCTGCCCGACTTCTTCGCCAGCATTCTGGGGATCAAGCAGCTGGTCCCTCCGTTCCTGCACCCGAACCTGTCGGACTCGGACATCCGAACCGGGGTGTCGTTCGCTTCGGCGGGGACAGGGTACGACGATCTGACGGCCACGATTGCTCAGGCGATCTCGATGGACGAGCAGGTCGAGCTGTTTGAGAAGTACGTGGTGAGGCTGAGGAGCATTATGGGCGATGACGCCGCCAAGGAGACGGTGCAGGGAGCTTTGGTGGCGGTCAGCGCCGGCGCCAACGATTTTGTGTACAACTACTATGACCTGATGACGAGGAGGCTGGAGTTCGATTTGAGCGGCTACCAGGATTTCTTGCTGTCTAAGGTCCAAACCTTGGTCAAGGTACGTACGTGAATTTTGTTAAAACCAGATAGTTTGAGGATATGTGACTCCAAGAACGATTATATGTCGTACGTGAATTTTTGCGTATAATTTGAGATTGTACTTATACTATTTTGTATATATTTTTTTATGGTACAACTTGAACCGATACTTTTATGTGATGTTACAACTTTAAGTTGTATCATAAAATAAGGGTACAAATTTCTTTATGGTACAACCTGAACTTATACATTTAACGTTATGGTACAATTACGACTTCAAGTTGTATATTGAAGCACCAGTTTTTTATAGCATAGTGAAAGTCCTCCTTCATGTATAGTTAAATTGCTTTCTTCTTCTTTAATTAACATACATTGTATTAGTATGAAACACGGTAAATTTGTTTGTTCTTTACTTTCTTTTATGCATTGCATCGTTGATTTATCTTTTTTCTAACATTACATAATAACGGAACATTGGGTGCATATAATAATTATGCAGCGGATTTACAACATGGGAGGGCGTACAATCGTGGTGGGAGGTCTGCCACCAATTGGCTGCCTGCCGATTCAAATGACGGTAGAGCTGCAAAACCCGTTGGAACGAAGGTGCGTGGAAACTCAGAATCTGGGTTCCCAGTCGTACAATGCGAAGCTGAAGAAGCTGCTCGCCAAATTGCAGTCCTCGCTTGCTGGGAGTAGAGTCGCTTATTCAAATGTCTACGACCCATTGCTGGAGATGATCACCCATCCAACCAAATACGGTAACGTGTATTTTAGGCGCATCGATCACTTTCTACATATCGAATCTTGATTTTATTAACATGAGACGTTTGCGGAAGTGGCAGGGTTTGTGGAGACGAAGCAGGGGTGCTGCGGGAGTGGGCTAGTGGAGATGGCAGCGCTGTGTAACGCAGAAAGTCCAAGCTGTGGGAAGGAGATGGCATCCAACTATGTTTTCTGGGACAGCGTCCACCCGACCTCCACGGCGTACCAAATTCTGGCCACCAACCTTTCTCAACAGCTCGCTTCTGCTCTTTCTTCTGCCAGCCCACCCTCATCGTGATCGCAGATATGCTGCCATTCTAAATTGTCATTGTTTGTTTATTATTCAGGATATATATACTCTTCAGGTCAAAGGTTCGGATATGAAACCAACAAGAGAGAGAGAGATGCATTATATTCGCATGCATAAGGAACTAATTGTCATTGATAAATAAATAAATAAAAATGAACTAATTGTCGTGATTGTGTCATGCAAGGTAGTGGATTAGTGGAAACTGTTAAACAGAATAGAAAGGCAAAACCAGATCAATTTTATTGAATGGAAAAACAAGCATAAATACAATGTTTAAGTTGCAAAATGATACTGACCACTAACCCACGTCCTACATATAAGCAACCCCCTCTAACAACTTCTAACTTCTACAACTACTGCTATTTATTAGCAAGACTTTCTCAACAAACAAGCCTTAAAACATTAAAGGTTAAACATTTAAATCCCAAGGCTCTAAACCAATTTGTAAGGCACCAACATATTCCAACAGAAACAACAGAAAGGCGCAATGTGAAATTGAGTCTTCATTATGTACGTACGACAATAATTCATGGATATGTATAATTATCAGCCGTTGAGTCAAACTTTTGAAATATGTGTGTGATCTTTCGCTGTGGGTTCGGATCGGTCCGTAACGTTTTGGTCAGTAATGGTGAAAATTTTCTCTCATTTTTAAGTTCGAGATTTAATTTTTTTACTCAAATAGTTCAAATTAATTATAATATTTAAAATAATATCCACTTTGATAGATTTTTAGAAAAAAATTGAGTTATTTTTTACGAGTCTATACCATATGGTATTGATCGGTATTAAATAAGAGCAGACCAAATGGTATGTACATACCAAGACTGTAAGATGGTTGAATATATGATAGTAGGAGTATATTAACTGTCATTTACGACTTTCATCATTGTATACTACAACTCCACAAGTTACCACCCTTATACCAGAGTGGTATAGTATTGTATTTTTTGGACCTGTATTTTTTTCACCCATAAATTTGTAGTTCCAATAGATTTTGATGAACTCGTTCCTTCAGTGCAAATATTTTTAAAAAAGAGTAAAAAAATAGGAAAAATAAAATGCGTTTAATTCACAACCCTTAGATCAGGATTTTTCCGGCCCACTTAAATCTAAAGGTCCATATTAGATTTAGTTACTCATGAGTTAGTAACCAAAGGTTAATGACCTTATCTTTAGCCTTTCGCTGTTACCAGACAACTTTATGTAGTTAGTTAGATTTGTTAAGCCGTTACTTAGTCCATGATGTATTGTATCGTATATGTACCCAAGATGTATACGTGGTTGTGATAAGGTCCTAAAGCCCATGATGGTCATGGATACGCTGGCTAGTAGGGTTTGACGGTGTTTGTGATATTTTTTATATAGTTGGGATGGTTGTGCGCCGATTTCATTAAGTAATACGACCAGTAAATCGGAGAGTATTCAAATTTTTTCATGGATTAGTTTGATTATTCAAAGATACCACATAAATTGATTTTCTTCATACTATTATTATTATCATTAATAATATATCTATAGTGAGAAGATCAAACCAAGGTCTATAAAAAAAATTAGCGGGCGAAGCAGATACACAATCTGGGGCCCCACTCCCTTAGCTATATCAATGCTAAGTCTAGTAAAAATGTATGTGGCCGCCTGAGCTCCCACATTCTGAGACACAAAGAATTTCTGGACCCGTTTGAGCAAAGCTACATTGTGCATATCCAACTCTCACAACGAAGGGGAAAAAAGGGCAGGATACCCTAACCAACCACCATGCACAAGTTCCGATACTTGGCACACTTTCGGTGAGCAGCATCAGCAACAACTCGGCTTGGCACAAAACCACTTATCCTAGTCTGAGTCAAAGGTGAAGAGCTAGTCAAATCGACACATACATCTTGCCCCCTATTCTAATAATAAAGCAGCAAAACTCAAGGACGAAGGGGTCTGCTATGCCCATCGACCAGATCGATATCAACCTCCCTACTAGTAGAATTCCAAGACTTGTAACAGATGTCCAATAAGTTTTCACAAACGAGGTTATGCCGATGCCTAATACCCACAGTACCATCACAGGTCACAGCATGATCCCCGAAGACATCACTATCAAAGACACGGGAACAGGCAGGTAAGGGCCTAGATATCGAAAACAACAGGACACCTAGTTAATAACTAAGCACACTACTATATGTCCTCCAATTCATAGTTTGACCCAACACATCAATAGGAACAACACGCAACTAATCAAAAGAGTGCACACTCTGCTGAGACGCACACAAAGCAACCTGACGAGCGGTCAACGAGAAAACAGAATCTAAAGTAGCAGCAACGTACGCGAAATATATGCCTGCCAATTTCTTCTTAAGTTTTGGGGTAGCAACTTCACTAGGGTCACGTAAGAGATCAGGACCTGTTAAATCATTAAAGTTGCATATATGGTCATCAAAGGCAGCGCTAGGAGATAGAATGCCACAAGGACATAGGAGCTTACCCAGCAAATCAGCAGACTGCAAACGGAATGCTAAAAAAGCATATTGCATGACATCTCCAGCAGCATTAACCCCAAACCCACATAAATGAAAAGGTAAGGTGCCAAGCCGTCACCACCAATCACCAGACCCAGGCCCAGAAGCAGTGACAATACGGTCCAAACTGGAACGAAGAGCTGTGTCAAAAGGGAGCTGGGTGGACCAAAAAACCTGATTGGAGCAAGTACGCAAAGAAAAGTAGAGTTTAGAAATACCAATACAAGCCCAAAACAAAAGCAACTCACACTGTGGGTCATTAATACTTGCAACCAACTCCATCGGCTAGATGGTCCCAGTAACTATTTTCGCCACAAGCTCACTGCTAAAATCAAGACAAGAACTGACAGGACCACCCAGAATGGTGACACCATGTGAAGGCCGAGCAATAGAGACGGGGAAGACACCCAAAAGCCGACTCCTAGGATCCTCAGTAGGCCAAAAAACCTCTGTCTTATCCCCATTTAGGTGAAGGCCGAGTCGAGGGCATTCATCCATAATCATGTCTAGGAAATTCCCCACAATGGTGCCATCATCCAAATACCAAGCCTGTATACTCAAATTAAAAGAGTCTCCGATCTTACACACTAAAGGATGCAACACCAAAGCAAAAAGCAAAGGGCCCAAAGGGACCCCCTGCCGAACCCCCTGGCAAGACCATAAGCTATGCTCCCCATAATACAGCCAGGCAAGGCTAGAGTAGCAGAAATTTACTCATCGAGATAGTACCGACCAATGACGATGAACTTCCTGAAGCATGGCCTCACGATCAACTAAATTGAAAGTATTTTAGAAATCGACCAACAGCATAGAAAGACCTACGTTAACCCCACAGGCCTCAATGAACCGGTTCAAGGCATGCAAAATAGTCTCTCCTCCACCAAAAACCCCGACCCCATACTGAATACCATCAAAATAACCTAATAAAAAAGGCCCAACAAGACAAGCACCAACCTTAGGGACTAGACGTCTCTAAACAGTACCAACAGATATAGGACGGATACCTCTCCCTTGTTTAACAAGCGGTGTGAGCATAGCACTAGAAATGTACACACCAAGGGGATGAGGACATCGACCCTCAAGGAAAATATTAACAACCCTAGTAATAGAGGCGATCAACTCATCCGAGATAGCAACAGCAGAACCACCCAAATAATCCATAAGGTGTTGAGCCCGAAAACCATCCCTCTCGCAAGACGTACCACGAGAGAAGCTCCTAATCATATCCAAAAACAACAGTGAAGAGGAAACAAGATGATCCACGGGTAAAGTCGGTAGAGAGGGAGATGAGGCGACGGGATGCTTGTATTGCAATGCCACAAGAGGGGCAACGCCGGATGAAGAAAGCACCCGAACAACAACTTTATAGTTCCCATCACAAATTTTCCTCCGGCATTGCAGAAGTTTGAGCTCACTCATATCGAGACCCTCCTCCGAAACAAACAAAGGGGGAACCTCATTTAAAGTCTCTCGCAAAAGCTGCATATTGCCACCAGCCCTCCACACAAGAATAGCACTGGTAACACTCTCCTCCTAATGAAGGCGACTAACAGCAGACCGAAACTCATGATTACTCCAGGGGAAAAAGTCTTAAGCACGCAAAGAGCCAACACAAGTAAGCGGATCTATCAAAAAAGGTCATGATAACACCTAAATTGGTGTGATATACCCTTCATATTAAGGTTTGTTTCGTGCCAATTCATGTGCATAATTATTTGATCAATGTCAATTGCATCCCTATTTTGTTCCTTTTTTATTTCATCGTGGTTTTAGCATGCTTTAGACAATATATGCGAATTAGGTACAAAATAAGGTCACAAGTGTAGCAATGGGGCATAAGACTGAAGATCGCAACCTATAGCCAAAGATCACGGCCCAGAACCAAGCCTGCGAAAACAAGCTAAAGATCGTGACCTGGAAGAATAAGATAGTGCCCGCTATCTAGAGGGTCCAAGGGGAGAACTTCTCATGGAAGCAGCAGAGGAGAAACATAGAGTTTCCCTAGCCAGAACACGACCGAAGCACAAACTGCACACGGTCTCGACCCTGCCTGTCTGCAATCTTCTTCGTCCTCTAATGCCTATAAATAGAATACCCCTTTCCCCCATCCAAGAGATCTTATTTTGAGATAGAATTTTTGGGTTTAGAGAGAGACAAGAGAGAGAACCGGAAGGAAGGAGAGGAAGGAGAAGGAGCTAGAAGAAGAGGAGACATCTTCCTCAACATCAAGTCTTCTTCCACCTCTTCTGTGTATCTTCTTCCCTCCTTTATGGATTAGTCCTTTAAGGTACTAGGGGTTCTAAACCCCAAACCCTAGTTTTAGGGTTACTATGTATGTATGGATATTTTAGGATTTTAATGAATGAATGTGTTTATCTAGTTGATTTGCAAGTTATTCTATCTTTGATTGTGTTTGGGTAACTCGCCCTAATCTTCTATACTAGCTGGCCTGAGTTCAGTTCCTTAAGGCCTTTTTTTAAGGAGGAACTTAAAGCGTTGTGATTGGTTGATTCAATTTTAGGTAGTTAAGGAGAAGTTATTAGTTAATTAGCTGTTAAGGGTATTTAGGGAATTGTAAACGCAACCCTGACCGTCTATAAACCCTTTTTTTCCATGATCGGCAGCCGAACCGTTTCTATTGTCGTCAAACAAACGTTATCCGTCCTCCTTGTCCGCTGCAGACGCCGGCCGTTCCAAGCTGCCGTCGCCTAATTCCCTTCTCCCAGGCCCCAGCCGATCCACTTCTCTCCATAAATCGGTCAACACCTCAGCTTCCGCCGCGCGAGAAGCAGCTTCGGCTTCCCTTCATCGACAACTGAGAAGCGTGTAGCTTGCCGGCGTCCCCAACGTTGCAGCGAGCAGCAGCCTCACCTTCCCTTCGTTGACGACTGAGAAGCATGCAGCATTATGTCATTATTAACATTTTTTTGCTATTAACTATTATTTCATTATTAACGTTATGATTGTCCATGTTATTAACCGTTGTGTGGTAGCAGCATTATCAATGTCTTTTAAGGGAGCTATCATTGTTTTCGAAGAGAGTTATCAAGAATTTGTTATAACATTATTAACCACTAGGTCCCACCATTATCAATGATTTTCTTTACAATTTCTACACAACACATATATGTTATTAGTTGTTTATATTATGTTTGTCAACGTTTTTTATGGTGATTTGGTTTTTTTGTAGGTTAATGACATGACACAAACTAAGAATACGTCACTTAAGACGGTTCCTCCTATAAACCGACCTAAGAGCGCGAGCAACAGAAGCAAAGAACAATAATGATGATAGGCTGAGTCTCATGTGCAGTATATCCCTAGTGTTGAAGATGGTAAAAAAATATTAGTCCCCAACGTGCTATGTGGGGTACATCCACAAGTAACGTACTATTTGTTGGTTGATAATGTAGAGAATTTGAGAAGCCACTCTATGTATATATGCGAGTTTTGTAATGTTTGTTACTTTCTAATGATCGTGATTGGCTCTTTAAAAAAATCATATGTGAGTTTAATAACCTCCCCGTTGTTAAGGTATTTTATTATTTATGTTGTTACATGTTTTACTCCGTTTTTAGTCATTTTAGTCATATTTCCATAACTTAAACCCATATTATTAAAAATTCAGACTTCATTATTAATATTTTTCAGGGCAGTTGTTAATTATAAATTTATCCATAATAACGGTTGGATAGAGGCTTCATTCTTAACGACTTTCACCCCAACTATCAACGGAAACTAATCATTAGTAACATCTCTATTATTGGTACTTTTTGATATTAAGAATAAAGAGAACACTGTCATGATGAGTGATACTATTGTTCCAACCACAGGAAAAATATTTTCCAACTACATGTTAACAATCCAAGATAACGTTATCAACTATTATAATATGATTTATCAACGATATACAAAAATATTACCACCATTTTCCCACGTTAATAATGAACGTTGACAAGATTAACAAACATATAATGTAAGGTTCATAATCTCCCACAAAAATGTTAGTAATTGAAACAATGTTTGTTAATAATAATGTTATTGAATTGCAATCATAAGTCAAACAAAAAATATAATTATTAAACATTAATGATTACATATTAAAATATTAATAACAAATGTTTCGTCAATCATGACATACTAGAACACTGTCAATAGAGTAAATAATGTTAACAAAATCATCAAAATTATGACTACTTTCACATAATAACGTTGATAATGACAACCACCCACTATTTACACCAAATTAGCTATGTCAATATTCATATTTTGGCCAAAAACGAAAATATTATTATTTTTATTATTTATTTCAATATTTTTATATCATTATTAACAAATAAAAGTTATAGTTTTAACAATAACAAACCACATTATCAACCCATATTATTGTACATTATTAACCGACCATGCAACTATTATTAATTATATTATTGCAATTATTAACACACTCAAGTTACATTTTTTAATAATATTGAACAACGTTATGAAAACATCTTATTAACCGGTAATGTCAATATTTTTATATTTTTATTAACAAATAAAAGGTACATTTTTAACAATAATACACAACGTTAACAACCCATATTATTGGACATTATTAACCGACTGGGCGACTATTATCAATTGTGTTATTGCAATTATTAATCGGTAACGTCATCGCTATGACAACACGATCACCGGTAAAAATCAATTTTTTCATCCCATATTAACATTTCCAAACAACATTATTAAAATCATTATCAACCAAATTGATCCATCAACGTTTTAAAACACTCAAGTTACATTTTTAATAATATTAACATCGTTATCAAAATATCTTATTACCCCTTACTAACCGGCCACGAGACAATTATGAATAATATTATTGAAAATATTAACTTGTACAACGACATCACCAGTACATATCAACTTTTTTCATATCTTATCAACATTTCTATTTACGCTATTAACATAAAAACAATATCAATGAGAAGCAATGCCAACGAGAACAATCAACCTTTCAACAATATATACAACCCAAACAACATAAAAAAGCTTTCACACCAAACTCAAAAGGAACTACACCTTCCATGTTTGCGTCGAATGGTCAACCAAAAGACGTCGTTCATGGCCGGAGTATTGGTGCGGCCAGAATAAAGGATTCATCGGGAAACTAGATGGTAGTGACCACAAAAGCAGTTGGGGTGTCGGAGGATTTGACAGCGGTTGTGGCGGAGAGGACGGCCGGACTACGGACGAGGGTGTCACCTTCACCTTCTACATATACATTTTCTACTGTAATCTCCTCTTCACGTAAGTCATTATTCTTGGGAATATCTTCATTAACAACAAATTCCGTCTTTATTAATATTCTCTTTTTTAATTAATATTCTAAAACAATATTGAAGGTTTACATGCAAAGTTCATTATTAACTCGCACACTTTAATTATTAACAACCAACCACGTCGTTACTAATCTTTCCTTCTTTGATTATTAACCTAAAACGACAATGAAATTCTACATGCAAAGTTTATTATTAACTTAAACACTTTAATTATTTACAACTAACTCAGGAATTATTAATCATCTCTCTTCGAGTAATGACCTTTCCTTATAAACACCTTAATTATTAACAACAAAGGCAAAGATTATTAATTAACCCGATCGAGTTATTAATTTAAATTGTTAACAACTGTTGCCTGTTTTATTAAACAACCCTTCCCGGGATATTACAACACCTCGTCAAACAACGCAACCAAATATACATTAGCCAAATGAAGTACAACAACTTACCAAACATAAAGGGTCTTGGCGATTCCATGTAATATGTAGTCTAGCAACGACAGCCAAGAGAGACGACAATGACAAACAAGAGAGACGAGGCGCAACGGTAGACGCAAATGAGGGGGTCACCAAACGGCGGAAACGCTGGACGGAACGGTGGACGCGACGGTGGACGCAACTGTGGTTCAGCGAGACCAAACGGCGGAAATCAAGCGCCCGGCCGGCTGCGTGACACGATGGCGTATTCTGTAGGATGAACGGTTTTAGGGTTGGGAGAAGACTGATTCTCGAAACCCACAATAATTCAATGTCTACGTGATTTCTCCCATTTTGATTTTAATTAATAATATCATTTAAATATTTTTTATATTCCTGTCTTACCCTTTAGCGTATTAGGTAGGTAGTTACCCAATCATTACTAATCACTTTCTCTCTCCTTCTCCTATTGGTTGAAAGGGGTTTAAGATCTTCCTTAAGAAAGAGGCCTTAAGGACCTGATCTAACCCGTATACTAGCCTACTTGTGCTTCTATGCTGGGTATGGAGTTTTAGGGTTAGACGGGTATGCATCATCAAGAAAACTGAGGGAAGATGTATGAATAGGATCCTCTGGTGGATGAGGCGACAATACCCCTTCCATAGGAATGCCTTCCTAG